TTTTTTTGAGACTGTCACAATTGTAGGGTTAACCCTCATCACCGCCATTGTAGAACCACGTCACAAAAAAAGACTTCTTATTGGAGAAATTTTACGGCATAAAAAGTAGACACATGATCTACTCTTTTTTCAGTTATGTTTCAGCCAAAATTTCAGAAAAATTTTTATGCTTTCTGTTTTACGATAGATTTTACACACGTGTTCCTGGCCTAAGACCTCGCCATGTGCGGTTGTGAATTTAAGTTATTGGAAATTGAGTAAAAAAACTACATAAGAATTATTAACCACTTGCAGTCCATTTTTTAGCATTTTTCCCCATATAGGTCCAATTTACATTGTTAAAATCACACACAAATAAGATGTAGTTTGCATTCAGGTCTTATGCTGAGCAGTGTTTTCCATTTGATGTCAAGCATTGCTCAACTCAGGAGTGCTAATTAATTGTGCATAAAGTTTCTCCTAGAATTCTTACAAGTAAGATGCTGAAAGTATTACCGTGATGCAGATTCCAGTGTTTAGTCTGTCTGGCATGTTGCTCCCATTTGCTGATAATATTCACATTTTTCCCCACAAGAGTAAAATTGAGGAATTGAAAGATGTGAAGTAAAGCAAAAATTCTGTAGTGAAAATTTTAAGAAGTATCAAATGTATTCACTACTCTTGAACTGGATATTATGGAGAATGTATTGTCAGCACTGTTGTTTAGAGTTCTTGCTTTTAACACACACAGGCATTGTTGGTGTGTCAGTGCTTCATTTATATAAATTATTTTGCCAACATGAGAGGGAGAGAGAATAGTAAAATTTATATTTTTATGATTTACAACATCAAGCTATTTATCTATATATATATAAAAATGGACGTGTATGTCCCTATATTTCACTTTTCCGCCAAAACTACACATCGCACGTGAATGGTGTATGTATGTGGTAGTAGACCCAAGTCTCCGTTCATGCACTATGGGGTTGCGTCTTGATAGCTATAAGGGTGTGGGAGATATGGGCTTGAAAGTGGTTTTCTATTTCGAATGTTATGTTTGAATTTAATTCGAACAATATTCGAATATTGGTTCGATTATAGAACGATTGTAAACGTTCCAGAAACATTGAAAATAGTTCGTTTGACTGGACGTAAAAATTCTCTAATTAGTCTGGAAACAGGGGACTTAATACTTGCATTCTGTGAAAACGGTTAAGATTGGCTATAATGTAATTATCTTAATCTTCACTATTGTTACTTTTTGCCCAGCAAAGCGGGTCCTTGCAGCTAGATGCTGGATTACTTAGAAAAACAGTCTTTTATATATATATATATAAATAAAAACCCAGTGAAGCGGGCCCTTGCAGCTAGTTGTTAATATAGGAAGGGTTTACTAGTGATGGGTTGATTAATCAGAATAAGGAATTGAGCAAATCTCATGGTTTCTGATTCTTAATTAATCTTAGAATCATTTTATTTGTTTCAGATGAAAATTATTGTGAACTTTCATGTTGACAAAGCAGAGAGTAAGCAATGTCCAATACATGAGATGATATCTGTCATTAACTACACAAAAGAAAAGTGTGCTGAGCAATGAGAGATTGCACTTGGGTCAGTACTAACTGTCCCCATTTTAGGAGAGATGGCTGGACATAAACCCTAATGTCACACTAACTTAACTGGCAATTTCAAATCAAGGCAGTCAGCAAAACAGTATATTATTAAATATTTATGTAAAATTATTTTATTTTTACTTACAACAAAAAAAAAAAAAACTCTCATTATGATTCATAGGTGATGCTGTAATATGATAAATTTTCAAATTGGATTTCTGCAATTCTAAGTAAAATATTTGTTTGTGCTAAGTTTAGACTGACTCATCTTGAAAAATCAAAATGGCAGTAGATATTTGTGGTTCAAGTGAATGAATTCAAAAACTGCTTAACTCATGACGATATTTGTTTAGCTCATTGCATCATTTGCTGAACTTCATTTAGTGTTAAATATGATGGCATGCTGATCATTTAAGAGGCATGCCGATTGTGTGAAGCTTGAAAAAAGTTCATCTCATTTAACTCCCCCTCCTTTTTTGTAAATTTTTTAGTTTTGAAAAATTAATGAAGTATTTAAAAGAATCAGAATCATGAGTTTTTAGCAGAAACAAAATCTGAACTGGAAGAAATTATGGTATTGTCAAATTGCTGGTATTTACCTTTGATTTATTTTTGGAATTCATGCCTAGCATAATTGTGCAAGAGTCACTGAACAGGTATTTGTATGCTATTGATAGATTGCTATCTATTCTTTCCATTTGTGTGCACATATGTGGGGAGCACAAAATGCGCACACAAATGGAAAGAACAACTTTCCATTTGTGTGCGCATTTTGCTATGAACAACTTTTAGATTTAGAGGATCATATTATTGGCTTTCACTATGGCTGTAGATGAATTTCTTTTAGAAAGCACTGAAAAACCAAATTGTGTGGTTTCACAATTCACAGTATGTAGAGTCATCTAGCAAGACAAGTGGCAGCTAATGGAGAAGGATACTTGATCAAGTGGTCCCATCCAGTTCATAACAAGGATGCTATTAATAAAGTCAAAGCCGTATAATAAAAATAAAATAATGTTGTTTTGAAAAGTAACTGGAAAGTATTGTCTGAGTCTGCCCCTGTCTACAGTATAGTAGATGATCTGTAGTTGATAACATGCATAAGGAGAATCAGGAGATCAGTTTGAGAAAGCTCTATGAGAACCACCTTGCTGAGTGGAGGAACAAATACCTGATCACAGTTGATGAGGGCTAGATCTGTCTGAGTTATATTAATGGGGACAGAAGAATCTGTTAAGTTAAAGGAGAAAATGTGTCAAATGAATTGATTATTGAGAACCAGGAAAGTTTTAAAAGAGGCATCATGGTGATCAGAGGTTTTACTAGATGTGGACCATTTCCTCAGAGTTCCATCAAATGATAAGATCAACATACAGACCTCAACAATTGGTTTCAGAACACAATGTAAAAATCTATGTTCTGACAAGTGAAACAAACATTTTTTCCATCCTGACAAAGTGAAGAAAGGAGGATAGGAAAGTAAGGTGGAATGAAGGAAAGGGGAAGGCTCACAAGCACCCACAATGTGTAAATTTTCTTACTCCTTTACTGCAATATTTCCAATTTGAGATTACATCTATTATAAACAAAGAAATTCCAGTAAGTTCCCTTGGACTTTTGGGTTTTGTTACCTGAAACATCAACTCTGAGTAAAGCCTGTACAATGGATGTCTGTAGAAAGCTGTAAGGTACATGTGGAGTAGAATTTTCCTTGTAAGTGCAAGCAGTTTTCCATGCCTGAAAAACCTATGTAGTCAGCCAAAAAGTATGCCTGTAGTGTCTTTCACAAAAATGCATCAACACTACAGAGGTGTTTTTGTTTTATTTACTTTAAAAAACATGTCATAGATATGTAAGAAAATTCCATTAAGTACAGTGGAACCTGCTAAAGTGACCACCTTCCTGCAGTGACCAATTTTATTTGGTCTGAAATTTACTCAATAGATTTTAGGGATGCTTTTTCTTTGTACAGTGACCATTCTTAGATCTGGTTTTCCTGAAATGCAACCTGTTAAAGCAACCATTTTATAGAAAAAAAGCTGGTGGATTATAGGTATTTGGACTACTGGCAACTCTTGTTGACCTGCAAGTTAATTTCTTGCCTAAACTGTCTTGTTGCCCACATACTTCAAAAAGTCATAAATCCATTAACAGAAGTTGATTCAATATTGCAATACAACAGTTACCTTGAGAAACTAATTCAATCCACATTTGAAATGTTTGAAAAACTGCAAAGTAATTTCATTGCCTCCAAAATCTGCTTGTTTAGATTAATACCTAATTTTCTGGGTACTGGTGATTGTAAATCTTGGGCTGGATTTTATAATTGTTTAGGCTATAAAAATCTCCATCTGGCAACTGTTCGGGAAGAATTTAGAAAATTCCAGAAATATCACCAAGAAAAAGTTAAGTTTCTTGAATCCAATAGTCAGCAAAAATTTAAGATAAGTAAAACATGTTAGCAGCATTCATAAAGGCAAAACACAATACCTTGAACATAACAAAGACAAATGAAAACCAACCATTCCAGAAAAGTAAGACAGCAAATTTTGAGATAAATGCTGCTGTTCTGAAATGGTTTTGGCAAATGTTTAGCATGAATGTGTCTGGTCCACATGCTACAGGAAGTAGCAGTCGCATTTGCAGAGAAGCTTCATATTCAGAACTTTTGAGTGAGCCGTTTGACGCATTAATCATTTAAACAAAGACATGCCATTTCCGAGAAGGTACTGTGTGGAGAATCAAATGATATAGATGATGTGACTGGAAAAATTTGAAGAGGGTATACAGTTTTTGATGCAATTACTTTGTATAGTGCTATAATACCATACCTGTCAACATTAATAGAAATAAATTCACAAAACCTACAAAACAATATGTCATGGGGTTTGTTTGATAAAACATGTATTGTCCATTTATCTTGGTCCCAAGGGTGGGCACATTAAGCAGGTTCCACTGTATTTCCTATACTATTTTACATTTGAGGAATCATGATATTGATTGGATATGGAAATCTTTAAACACCTACAGTAGGGCCCTGCCTATTGTAAATGTTTAAAGATTTCCAACAGTAATAAAAAAAGCTGATACACTTATTGTAAACATTGACCAAAGCAGTCAAGTTTTCAACTAAATAGTGACGAACAGTGCCTTGAAACTTCTTACATGTATTACTAAAGTACATGAATGGTACCACTCTTCTGCTCTATTAAAAAAAGGGTTTAATTCATTGTTTTTCAACCTATTATTGCATGCATAACCCAATTGTTTTGAGGGATAGTTTAAAATTGATTTCATCCTACCTTCTGGTTATCTGAAATTGTCATAACACTTGATATTTTTGCCCATTCTCCTTCAAACTAATAAATGTATTAAGACTGGGTTCTTTTTGGAAATAAAACCACCAAGAACTATTTAAGTTGATATTTATTAAAAGCAAATAATTGGTACATTTGACCGAAGTTGCATTATAAATAGAGGCACTAAAATGCGGTGTTTATTATTAAGCTACCGGCTTTAATGCATGTTACGACTAGTCCGGCAGAAGACCCTTGCCTCAGTCTAGGAAGCTCCCTTAATACCCGGAAGACTAAAACCGGGAAGGCGACAAAGTGGTCAATCATTTCCTTGATATGTGATGGTTGATGCACTAATCACCAGTCCATTACATAATGAGAAGTGCAAGAAGACTAGTTACTGCATTTTGCCACAGAAATGGCACAATGACTAACTGTTTCCATCTCCAAAGAACACTAACAATTAGTGCAGACTCTGCTAAACAAATTGACCAGTTTCATCATTGCAGTGTGTTAAAGACAAACACATGTTATGTTAATTAAGTTTACCATGTCTTTCTTGCCATCACTGAATCTTGTCGCTTTTCTTGACTACAAATAAAGAAAGATGATTTGGTATAGTTTTAGTATGTTTGAGGGCAAGCAACCAGATTTAAAAATTTGGAACTGACAAAACAAAAGTACCCGTAAGGACTCCGGAATCCTTTTTTGGAATTTTAATTATCCTCGGCATTAGAACAACAATTATTTGATACGAAATAATTTAGTTAGTGTAGAAATGCATTGAAAAGAAAAAATGCGTATAAAAAATAAAATGTGAATAAAGGCAGAAACAAAGTACAGACAAAAGACAATCTTCTCCATTTTTGGTCAGAGAAGAGAGAGAGATTAAACTAAAAAATAATACTGAAGTACACAAAACAAATGCGACGATAAAAACACCGGTGGATGGGTGGCCAGCCACCTTCCTTTAATGAGAAGATTCTGAACGATCCTGAAATTTAGAAAATACAAATAATTAGTTATACAACACTAAGAAATTCAATTATAAATAAAATGGGGTTTAATGATATTAATTCATTAAAAACTAATAGCCTAATATGTCACATTTCATTTTGAATCTCTTGTTTTGGTCACCCAAATACTCAAAATAAGAAATTACCTGTAAAATGCTTTCGGATAATCCGGAGTCAGACAAATTGTGAGTTGCAGAACAGTGAGATTCTTTGATAAGTTTGTAAGAAGCCACTTCCTGTAGGATAAAGGAACAAAGGTGAGTACTCCAAAGGTTTCATGGGAGAAAGATCGAGAATATATATAAAACTCACTTCTCCATTGTTATTTAGTAGTGTGACGGTAGAAGAATCCGAAGGAATCCACGACTGTCCCCTCATGACTATGTCTCTGGGAGGACTGTGTGAAGTACCGCTATCAGAACTCCATACCTAATTAATTAGGAGAAAAGTTAAACATGTATAGCAGTGATTCTCAAAGTGGTGGGTTGTGAAAAATATTTGGGGGCGGTCGCAGAAAAATTGATGACAGATCAATTTGTTTTTAAATATTTTATAAATTTTCTATGGATTCATGTTTAGAAATAGTAGATTCTTTTCGGCTTAGGTGTGAGAGCAGAGTATTCACTACTCTCTGAATTAACAATGGCAGTTCTCTTACCATTTGCAACCACTTATTTATGCGAAATGGCATTTTCTGTAATGGCCAACATCAAAACAAAGCAGTTTAATTTATTGTGCCAAAATAAGCAGGCTCACCCATCACATTAAATTTAATTTAAAATATGTTTAACTTAACTAATTGAGTTTACTATATATATAAAATATTTTGTTCAAAGATGTACCAAAGATAAGTTCTTAATTTTTAATGATACTAAAAATAAATCTGCTATTAAAATTATGAGTGTTTCAATGCAATTAAATGAAAGAAATTATCTCCTCCTGAATTTAAATTAATTCCCCCCCCTTCGGGATGTTTTTCTACACATACCCATTCTTCAGGGGTCCTATGAAATTTTTAAGTCCAAAAGGGGGGGGGTCGCAGACCAAAAACTGAGAAACACTGGTGTATAGTATGGATAACATTGCAAGAACTCACTGTGACATAAGCATGTGAACTGATAGTGGTGTTTCGTTGGAACTTGAAGGAGGTTCCTTCATCTTCGGAAGTTTTCTGCACTAGCTGCCATCCTCCAATGGGAAGCTCCTGAAATTTACAATTGGATTTTTGTTACTATATATCTCAAGGAAGTCATTTGATAGAATGTATAACTACTACTAAAACTAAATTAAAATGAAATTAATACTTATATACAGTCAATTCCACTTAATAGAATGGCATTGGGACCGGAGTTTTTTTGGGTTACTAAATGAATATTCCAATAAGTTATGCAATTGAGATACTATATAATGAGTTATGTTAATGAGCTATGTCAACACATGTTCTCAGCAATAAAACAAACACCTGAGCACAATAAAACCATTTTAATGACGAGAAATTATTTCTGTACAAAAAAAATCATTGCAATACAATCTAGAAAATGGGAAGATTCTTTTCCCATGATTGACAGCTGATAAAGGAAACCGGACGGAGGTTGCATATGGAAAAGCTGAAAATATCCAAATTCGTTTCTCTTTTCTTTAGTTTTGAAAAATGCTATGCCAGCCAGGGCCTAATTTAGACCTTCGTGGGCCCTAGGCAAAATAATATTTACGGGTCTGTTTACATATTTTGTATTACTACAAATATAAATAAAATTGTAATATTTAAAATTAAAGTATTTTTATTTTTACATTTGAATATCTTACTTAAATTGTATTTTTTGGGCTACAATAAAATTATGCAGCAATAAACATTATATTTTTCTCAACAAACACTGCTTTATTCTGAATTTCACCAAACAGATCTAATTTGTATATACAAACATTATCTAATTCTCAGTGATGTTGTTAGATGTCGGAGCAGTAGGTAATATCATTCTTAATTATTAACCCTCGAATATGGTGCTAATAATATAGTAATTCACAATACTAATAAAACAATGGCACGTTTAGAACCTATTACGGGCTCTGGGCAAGTGCCTTGCCTGCCTTGTGCCAAATTAGGCCCTGGTGCCAGCAGGGGCTACTAAGCAGCATTTCGGGGCCAACAGGCAAAGTAAATTACACTTGCATTATAGGATTTGATTCTGTTCTTGAGTGTTTTGTCCTAATATGTGGCATGTTTACTGACTGACTGACTGACTGACTGGACTAGACTAATAACTGGAATAGACTGTATTTAAAATATATAGTGTATGTTGGCTGATTTTAAACCCATTCCATCCATCCACCTAATGTGCAGAAAAGAAAAACTCACTTATGAGTTTTTCTTTTCTGCACATGTATTTTTTTCTCTCACTTATGTAGATAAAAAAAATACACTATTTAAAATATTGGATGTTTCAGCTCTGACTGATAGAAAGCTTGAGAAAAAATATTAGGATAAGCAACAACTATGAAATTGAAAAATATCATATTTGTTACCAATTATGTGTATCATCATAAATGAAAATACACAACATGAAACAATTTACAATAATATAGTTAAGTTATTGGTGAAGGAATGATTTTATGGGTGTAAGGACTGGAGAATGGAATTACCTTATTTCCTTTGTTGTGAATCTTAATGAATCTTCCGTCTGAGTCATACTCGACGATTTCTACGTCTCCCTTGGTGGACGACGAAGCCTGGGTGGAAGAGTCGCACTTCTCTTCCATCTGACTGAATACAGTGCGCTTCCTTTTTGATCCTCTAGTGGGAGTCGAAGCCGCCGCTGCTGGAGTGCTCTGAACGTATGAATTTTCAGATGCGTTCAGTGAAATGTTCAACCTTCCAATTAAACATAGTTGAGTTAATAACAGTTGCAATGATCAGATACAATCCAATCTCTTCTCTAAACAATCATTACTATCCATATATAATAAGAGTACATCTCTCTATGAAATCTGATTTTGCTATTTTGAGAATCATGTCTTTTGGAAAAAATTACTGATAATCGAAATTATTTTACACAGTCTAATTTTATTTATTTTGATGATACTTAATAGCTACACTTGTGTCCATAATTTAAGGAATTTACTTTATGGGCTGGCTGTGCCTCATTCAGCTGTGAGAAAGACATTTCAAGGGAATAAATATAACATGGGAGGGTAAAATATAGTAAGAAAAGAAATTTGAGTTCACCTAAGCCATGAGAATAAAGGAAAAACAACAGACATGGACTGTCCTGCATGATATTGCTTGTGCTATGAATGTCACATCAATGGTTCTATGAAACTTAATAGTATATGGTTGCTGCAAATGGCAATACATGCTGCACAGAGGTTTTGCTTACTGTTTACAATATTTCCAACAATTCCTGGGATTATGAATCCCACTACAGCATAAGTACTCTTTGGAGCTTTGCAGTGGTCCATGCTATACATTATCTTGCAATCCTGTGACTAAGGCTGCCTCATTCGTATTCTATGGGATTTAAGTCTGATGAATAGAGTAGCCAGTCCACACACCTTACATTCTTGATTTCAGGTATTCCTGAACCAAGCCATACCTATGAGGGCAAGCATCATCATCAATTAAAATAAACCTTGAACAAAATGCACCTGTAAAAAGCTGCATACACTAGTGTGAGATGACTTCCTGCATTTTGGTACGCTGATTCCCATACTGGTAAATTTGCATACCTAAATCATTCCATTCAGAAGTTGCTATAAAGCATTTCTACTTGTGTTTCTTACCTTTACAACAGTGACAAATAAACTCATGAATTACTAAAATGTAAATGGACATATAGTTTTAAAGTTAACTTTTCAAATGAAGATTCATTTGGAAGGAAAAGATAAAAAAATTTTTTTCCTTGTTAGGAAACTGTCAAAAACTAACACAAGGACAAAGTCAAATAGTTTCAGGAACATAACGGATTCAATTATAATTTAAGAAAAAGAACAAGACAAACTAAAAATTAGAGCCCTGTTAATGCAGAAAGTATACAAAATAATAAAAGTTACTACATCAAGTTAGAGTGAAATGTTTTTCAGGATTTTGAAAGATTGGAAGAAACTATGGAAAGATTTAATCCTGATTTTTTAGATTTTGAAAAAGCTCAGTTCAAAAGAGAATAACTGAAGGTAACAAAATTCCCAAAAATTTGATGAAAAGAGTATTTATGCTGGTGTTTCAATGGATATCAAATAATGAGGAGGCAACAAATATTTTATCCATTGTAATAAGATTATGGTGAGAAAAACAATGGAAATCTTGGAATATGCAGATGACTTATTAGTATGCTGCAATAATAATAATACATCAGTAAAGAATTTGATTTAAAGATATGGGAATTTCTAGAATCATTAATAGCATTAACAAGAAATTAAATGCTAGGTATCAAAATTTTTTAGTTAGGAAATGAATAAATACAATCATGTATCCTAAATCTGCACAAATTTCAATAGCATTTTCTGGTAATTTTGAACATGTTCACAAGACAGTAAATATTCTTTCTAGAACATTCTGCATTTATTGAAAAAGTTTATGTAAATAATGCTCTATTTTAAAAATGGAAGGATTAAATGAATTCAATCAAAGAAACGTAATTGGCATATTTTATATCAAAAATCACAAAAATGGGAATTTTATATGGTTAAACATTTCTCTTCAATGGGAGTTCCACAACACACAGTATATACTGTCATTTCAAGGGTGAACAAAGGAAACCTGCAATGTGAATTGGTCAAAAAAAGAGGAATCAATTGGAGAAAGAAGTCTTTGGAAAAGTTGGACAAATGCTTAGGAAATTCGGAAGCAAAATTCTGAAAGAATGTCAAGTGAATATCAAGAAGCTAAGGTCTGTTCCAAAACAATGATGGAGCAAGTTGCTACTCGAAAAACCCTTACAGAAAATGCACGATGAAGTCTCAAAGGTGGCAAACAATCTCAATGTGGTTATGGATGACGAATTCTATTTCATTTTTGACAGAAGTGAACATGCCAGTAACAAATCATTTCAAAGAAGTGCTAGATATGGATCTGTGTCATTTGATTATGGCATCAAGATCCACAAATTCAGATGAGGCTAGTGTCCTTCCTAAAAAAATAGAAGGATAAGTCTTCGTGCCAGTCACAGCCACCAGCCATCAACCTCTATTCTTGCAACACCATAATGGTCCAACTTGACAATTGTGTTGCCACATGGTTGTCAAGCTGGACCATTACAGAATTTGATGCCTCCTGTAAAGCTAACATTCCAAACATCCTGCAACCAAGACAGACTTTATGGAATTTATGAAAATATTGATAATTGGGAAGCTGGATCCACAAAGGGTCAGAAGATGGGACAGAGGTCAAACTTTGCCACTTAAAAACCAGCCACTTTTGGAGGTCAATAGAATGGGATAAGACTAAAATTTGAATTGCAGCTGATAGGAGTCAAACAATTTATCTATACCCAAAAAACTATTTTAAAGATACACACCTGTAGTATGGGGATATGTCAAAAGAATTCAAAAGCATCAGATTATTATTATGGAATAAACAATGTCTTTGAATTTTAAGCCAATGACAATCTATTTCAGGACAAAAACATTTGTATTATTATAATGCTTGCTTTTGAATGCCAAAATTAACAAATAGTTTATTTACATGACTGTCATCAAGTGTATGTGTAGTTATTGAAAAGAAAGTAAGTTGCAAACATTATTCCAAATTGAACCTTTCAAGGACATGGTCCAAAGATTAAACTAGAGAAAAGCATTTCCCATCTCAGTTTGAAGGTTTCCAGTTGACAGACAAGTACCGTAAAATGATAAACTGATTAAATTACACATTATCTGGAAACAAATGTCAAAATGTCTATATGGGATACATAGAGTCTTTAATCAACATAGTTTTACAGTTGATTTCAGGTAATTGGAGCATTAAAGCCAAAAAATTGCCAGATTAGATCAGGCTTTATTAATAATTAAATGCTAAGTAATTTGGCACTAGAGCCATAACCAACCTAGTATGGTTATAACTAAATAAGTTCTGGATGCGAGGATTGGATGAAAGTCTGGGTAACATAAGTGGCAACACAACTGCATGGTAAGCAGGAATTGTGGATTAGTGTCACGCTCTGGGCAAATTCTTTTATTCCAGAACCTTCTAAATTATTAAAATATTAATGGTTCTGGAAGAATTTTGGCTCTACTGCCAAAGTAATTAATTAGCATTTAATTATTAATAGTAGTAATAATATAGCATTATATATGTTAAAACCAAGCAATTGCCAGATTATTATTATTGGGTTTTAGATATTTAAAAATACCCAATTATAAACTAGTTTTTCAAACACTTTTTATTGTTGGTAGTTACTATAATTGCCTTTGCTGTATTTGTTTATTTATGAAGTCTTTGGCAGTTTTAATAACTAAAATTACAGACCAACAACTTGATTTATTTTCATCTGTTGAAAGTATGAGAAAAGGCAAAATGCTGATGGGTTTAAAACCAACAAATCAATGACTTAGAGAAATTGTTTTGAAAATTGGAAGATATGATGGCGATCTAAATGGATATTTAAAAATCAATAAAAATTATCACAGAAATGAGGATATCCATAGATTATTTGAGAAATTTGACAACAAATAATTACAAACTGCTATAGGTATCCCTGGTTCTTACTGGATCACTTGTCAAGTTGTCATCAATTGTAGAATATACAAGAAAGGAACAACCTGCTTGGAAACCTTGCCACATCACTACTCATCTTGATTTTACATGACATCACAGACAAATTGGGACACCATATTCTCTGATAAGGGGGAACTTAGATGGCTCAAATGGAATTTGAAACTATTTGCACGACCTTACTACAGCACATCTGTTATGGTATGGAAAACATGGACAAACTACTTAACCATTGATGAAAAATCAAAATTTTTATATTTATACAGAAAGTATTAACCACATTAGTGATTTTTTTTAGTGAAATAAATGAAAATTATCATGTTGCCTTTATTTAGTGAAGTAATTGCTATTATTGCCATGTCAAAAAGTAAAGTAAACCTTTTTACAAATAAAATAACACACACAAAAATGGTGCATTATTTGTAAATTAACCAAGGAAAATAATTTTTATAAATGACAGAATAATGTTAGGCTTAACTCATACAAAAACTTGGCCTGTGGCTACCAACAGGTATTGAAAAACAGCCTTGAATGGGTTAAAAGTTGTTAATGAAGGAATTATAAAAAAAAAATACTTTCTTGAAAAGAAATAAAAACTATATTGAATAAAATTCTTAAATTTAAGCTTACCTAGATTCTTCTCCTTCCAGAAGTTTCCTGTAAGCAGTGATTTCCATGTCTAGAGCCACTTTAATATCCAACAGATCTTGGTACTCGTTCATCTGTCTTTCCATCTGTTCTCTCAGTCTTTTAATTTCATCCTCTTTGGCGTGCATGGCTGACTGGTGCCAGTCTCTCTCCTGTTCCAACAGCAGTTGCAGATCACGGACACGACTCTGTAGTTTGGCATTCTGTACAAACATTTTTATTTTAATCATTTGAATAAATCTCTATTTGTTTTACAAGACAAAGATTTTATCATTATGTGCATAAAAAGCTGATAAATGATTAACTATTAAGTAATTTGGTATTAGAAGCAATTATGTTACACTTACTTCTAGTTTTACTAAATTATTTATTAGTTAATCAGTAATAACAGCACTTAATTAGCCCAATTAATTACAGTGATTGGTTTATTAGTTTTATTTGATTCACTTCAACACAGCTGGCTCCATGCGTGTCTGAGTACTGTCAGTTTAATTCTAACTATCTTGTATAATTAGGAATAAAATTATATAAAATACAAGAGAATGTTGTCACGAGTAACATAACTAACTAACATAATCTTTATGATAAGAAAAACAGATCATATTGCATTAGAAAACAGTTTGTTTCTTAGCAGTACAGTTATAGCTGAAGCATTATCAATAACAAACTAATTTTCCTCTAAACAAATACAGGGTCTTTATAATTAAAATTTCACTTTGAAATAGCCTTAAAAGGAAAACTACTGGACAAAATGTTATGAAACTTGGTAACAGTTTACAGGAAGTCATGGAAAAAACTCTCCACCAGCGGGAAATGGCATTGCATGCAATATTGTTAAATGGAAAAAAACATGAAGACATCTGTTGAAAATGAACAATTTGGTGGAATTGAAAAATGTGATACACCGACATGTCTAACATTCCTCCTGATATGCTAAGAGTTGCTGTTGAGAACACAGTAATGCGATTTAACTTGCTTTCAGAAAATGGTGAATGCCACATCGAACATGCTTTGTAACACATTTTAGAAACGATTAATTAAAGACATTTTCAACCGATGTCTTCATGTCTTTTTTCCATTTAACAATATTGCATACAGTGCCATTCCCTGATGGTTTGAACTATTTTTTTTTAGAGGAATAAAATCCCATGACTTCCTGTAAACTATTACCAAGTTTCATAACATTTTGTCCAGTAGTTTTCCTTTTATGGCCATTTCAAAGTGGAACTTTAATTATAAAGACCCTGTATATTTACCAAATAGTACAAAAATGTATTACAGATCTATATTCATTAATATAAATAGTAGAAAAATCACACAACCAAAGAAGAAAATAAATTTAGCCATCAAACCAACAATCCCATATACAGATACACAGGATTAAAACAAACAATTTAAATCCAGAAGTTTCTAATTATTTTAGCCAGTTTTAAGAATTCAAATATTTTGTTTTCTTCTAATTCAAGCTGTTTTCGATTGGAGATAATTATTGAAAAATACTCTAAAGCACCAAAAAAAGTGCAATGTCCTGTTGGAACATCAATTTGTCCTATTATCTTAGACAAGAACATTTGATATGTCACTTCTTGTGATTTGATCTCTGATATACAGGTGTGTCAAATACCAATACCAACAAGTGTGTCAAATACTCATGCCAAATACTCAATACTTTTAAAACAACTAATATAATTTTTGTAAAAAAAATTTTTTTTTTTTCCATTATAGTTGCTTTAACATTATTTCTCTAGTTAGATTTATACAAACACATTTAAAATATAACAAATATTGAAATGTAGCATTTTCTGACATAGAATCATATTCTGTATAAAATCAAAAATAACAAAGTATAAATGTAAATCTATGTCAAATACTCATGCCAAATACTCAATACTTTTAAAACAACTAATATAATTTTTGTAAAAAAAAATTTTTTTTTTTCCATTATAGTTGCTTTAACATTATTTCTCTAGTTAGATTTATACAAACACATTTAAAATATAACAAATATACACACATTTTTATTTATTAGGGAAATTATCACTAACCTGTGTTTCTAGATCGTTTACTTTCGACGACAGACTTTCCAGTTTATTCTTAAAACTGTGCAGTTCTTCTCGGGCAGTGAAGGCGCTGTTACTGTTTTGATCCGCTCTTCTCTGCAGATCGTCCAGCTGAATAATGTAAATTGTTTCTTATTAAGAATAAAAATTCATTTTTCAGAAGCCAGTGTCAAGTTTAGGAATTAATTTTGATTAGAAATCAAATTAACACACTTTTACTAATTTCAAAACGTACACAGGGCATATTTGATTATTTTAACAAATTTGTCTTATCTTACATAAGTTTTGCACACAAATGATTCCACATTAAGAATTTATCCTTCATTAAATTTTTTTCAGTTATAATTTTTTTCTTTACTTATTCAATTAAATATTTAATTTTTTGGAACAGTTAAATATTTGTATTTAATAGAACCAACATCTCAGTACCAAAATATAGCAATTTATCTGTATGTGCAAAGTCAGATATTTAGTGGAAAAATTTAATTATGCAAATGTCCTGATTGTAAAAAAATTTGATATTGTGCAAGATAAGGGACAAATTTACTAAGGAACAATTTTTAAAAATTTTACTGAATCAAGAAATTAAATAATTCTGCATTCTAAACATTTTGGAATACATTAACATCAGCAAAGTGCAAATATAATTAGAACTTCTCTCATTGTTTTTTTGTTTAACCAACCAATAGAAACTCATTTTGAGCTAAACTGCACAATTTCTTTCAAAGTAGTTAAAATAGAATGTAACCTGACAATTTGTGTATATAAATCTAAACAAGGACAAAAGCTTCTGAACTAAATAGACAAATGCTGCAAATTATACAAAAGCACTAATGTATGATGAGCTGTCCCACTTAACAGAAATATAGAAATGGTCAACATTCCTGTCCTTAATTTTAGAATTAACGTTTTTGTCATGTATTATAACCTGGGCATTCCCCCCATATAACATCAGATGTTCTGCACAAAAATACTAACTAGGAATCTATTATTTCTTAGTGTAAAATGGGAGAAGTTGTTTTACATTGGCCCATTCCTACTTCCTAAAATATAATATTTTACTATGTTTGAAAGTAATTGATCATAATTTTAAGCGATTTATATCCTGACAACAATATTGTTTGATCAGAAAATGATAATTATTTTGTATGCAGTAACAGGTACAGTGTGCATGCAGTACAAGATGGAAAATAGTGCACACAAATAAAGAAATTTGTTACAAAAATAGACAGGGTATACAATAAAAAAGGCAATTTCCTGACAGAAGGACACTTGAACTTGTAATGACGTAAGATTATGTTAAAGGATAACAAATTAAATGTGAAATTCGAATAGATCGAAAATTCCCGAATTTTACACGGTAAAAAAATAATAAAACTCGGAATTTTAGTTGTGTCAAAGCAGCAGGTTTTTCAAAACATGTGCACACAATTTTGATATTCTAATTTGTATTTGGATTATAAACTGAGATTTTTCCTGATAACATATTGAGCTTGTGAAACAAGTAAATTTTTCCTACATAAAAAAAAATAACTAAAAAGTTGTATCCAGAAATGTTTGTAATAAATAACTTTTATAACAGATTCTACTGGAAAAATGTAAAACAAGAAAGCTTTTGGCAGGCTCTCCCATGTATTGTTTTCAATTAAATATATTTGCATTTAGAACTGGATATAATATATTACAGTTGTAATTGATAATAATAATTATGACCAAGACTTACAATCATGAATATGTTGTTGAAATGTAATTTCACAAATTTGAACAATAAAGAACAATACCTTTGTTTTATATATGTTTTCGATTTCTTCCCTGTTCATCTGGATCTGTGACTTGTATTGCTCTCTCAACTCGTGAAGTGTATCCGATAACTTTTGTTCGTACTGTTCTTTCAGTCTTTCGTCGATTTCGGTTATCTCTGTGTGTTTTATGGTTCGCGTTTCAGTCAATTCCTGTAGAAATAAAATTTCACATTGTATTAATACAAGTTTATTATGTAAATTATAACAATAAAAATAATTTTTTAACACTCCATGCCCCCTTTTTTGGTAAGTAAAATGTAGTTATTTTTGGGAATTAATAAGAAATTTCTATTTATTTGAAAGAAAATCCTTTATGTATTGTTTCTTTCAAAGTTTTTTAAAATTTATATTTTGGATTTATTCCAGCATAGAGTCCATATGCACAAAGTATTAATTAGGTTAATATTTTTTCAAACAATAATATCTATGTAAAATGTAAAAAGTCTTATTTAATTATACATGAAGGCACATTAATCTCACAAACTCACTGACACGAAATATTTGAGCAGCAGCAGACCTAGGAAAAATGAAACGTCAAGAAAGAATGCAATGTACAGAACATTATCAGAAAAATATGAAATCTTGAAAAATTAAAGTATTTTATGTACTATGAGGCACCACTTTATTCCTAGAGTATTGGGTGCTAAATTCCCAAATATTTGTGGAACAAAATGGTGAAATTAGTTGATTTTTAAGTATTGTCAGCTGCCTGTTTTCAAAGAAATTTATTTATTTATTTTCAATTAAAACAGAAAATGTCTTGCATCATTAGATTTCCTTCTCCTCTAACAGTAAAAACTCTTAATAAATACATGAAATAGAACAAGAAGAGTACAACCAACTAAAATGTAACACACAACAGGTGAAAAAAGCTAAAAAAAAAAAAGAAAAATTAAGAATTGTATAATAGCCGTTCACAGGTATTTTTGAAGCAAAGATAATTCCAAAAATTCATATTGACTAATCATATATTTTGCAAAATGCAGTGTAAAAGAAAAAAAAAAGATTGTTGAGGAAAAAAAGGTAAATGCTTGAAACATTGCAAGTTTCACACAAAGGAACTTATCCAAGCCAATCAGATGATACATAACAGTTGTATACGGAATGGTAAAATCTCCATAGGATTCTGCAATAAATGGCAAGGTATTTAACTAGTCTGTCAACACAATTTTTAAATGAAAGTTTACTTTTGAAAATAATGCAGAGATCATTCACAGAATTTACACATTTTATATGATCGCCAAAACAGCAAACAACTAGGAATTGCTCCCATTCTTAAACATAAAAAACATAGCAACAGTTTATGAGCATTAATTTTTAAGTTGGCCTTTTCAAGTAAAGTGGACAGTAAATTCAGGTCAGATTGTAGAAAACTGGGGCTGTGATATATTAGTCTGATATCATCAACAAAGACTAACTTGCAAATTACGACAACAGATTATAATTAATGTAAACTGAAAAAAGAGGCTACTTAAGTTAGAATCTTGAATGTCACAGATCGGATGGAAATCAATTAATTCAAAGCCACCTCTCGATTTTACAACGGCATGCTAGGAAATAATTATTTAGCCAAGAATGATAAGTGGGATCTAAATCAAACTGTTGATGAAAAAAGTAGTAGATTGGGAGAGTGAAGTCAGATATCAATGTAGATAACAAAAATGGGGCATTCATATTCAAAGTTTTGGAAAATTAAAATTGGTTTCAAAAAGACTAGTTTTAGTTGAATGGAAATGCATGCTACAGTGTTGAATTGGGGGAAGCTTTGAAGAGATAGAGGTATATACATTATGGTAGATGATTACTGTATTTCAAAAGTTTTAATTGATAAATATAACTTTTTAACATCCAATTTATTTTACAAATTTGTATTTATTACATAATGTCTTTTTATTTAAAAGAAAAAACATTATGGGACATGAACTCAAACTCTGCAAGCTCCAAAATTCTGTACCATGTAGTCAAGATATTTATCATATACATGTTTAATTCACTAATTAATGTTTAGACTTGCAGTACAAAAAATTTAAAAAGTGAATCAGACATATCTGAAGTTGAATACATTTTTTTTGTAAAGCTAGCCTCTTGCAGCTGTTGGCAGAACCATGCACAGAATTGACAATTCTTTTAGTGTGACACACAGTATAATTTATCAAACTGCAAAGTGTGCTTCAACACACCAACAAATTGGGCTACTTCATTTGTTTTGTGTCCGTGGACACAGCCAAATACAATGGCTCCTTTTTGCCGCTCGGTAACATCTGTCATACAACCCATATTGCAGACTCAATTCAACATTCACATTGCTCTTCACTTCATGAGACAGAAATGACCTCATAGATGTCCATGCTATTTATCTCACAACCATTCTCTCATGGCACCCTCTTTGCAACTGGTAATACCTACTGTCATTTCTGTTAGGGACAATTAGCTTTTTGCCCAGTGTGCTTAATTTCTCAAACTTTTACAACTCAATCACCCACGTGAACAATAAATACAGTACATTTTTTGTTTTTGAAAAATGTTGTTTGATATGAAAATTCATTTTGAGACAGAGTTTTTTTTACTTTAAATCCCAAAAATATGCAAATTCAAAGGTTACTCAATGCAGTAACATTAATATTGTAATTTAGAAAGATTGAAGGGTTTGGTAAAACAAACAAAATTCCCTTTAAAATCAGAAAATGTTAAATCAAGTTTCTACCGTATATGAACAAATAATATAAAATGTAAAAATATTTACTTTTTAACAAAGAATAAACAATTCAAAATAAGAAAAAAACCCATTGAACTAGTTTTGTGTTTGTAATAAAGAAATCATGGAGTATAAAATTACTTTTCAGAGTTTTATTAAATGATGAAATTTTTTTTAATGCAAAAATTGCCATACCTTTTCGTGAACAGATTCTTTGAAAGACAACTCTTCCTTCATGCTCTGAAGACGATTTTCCAGATCCACTCTTCTCAATATTTCGTCCTCCAGCTGCAATTTTATGGCAGCCAACTGCTTTGTGAGTTTGGCCAATTCGGCTTGCAATTCCTTTAATAAAAAGAATTAAAGATTTTATCTTCAAAATAATGGTGATAAAGTATGAGGCCTTATTTTTCTAGAAACAATATAATTTTAAAATATTTAAAATAATTTAAAATAGAATAATTTAATAGAAATAATTTTATTCATATGCACCAAATTTACCCTAGAAGCTATTTAATCTTTAATTTAATTAAAATTCATCTGAAAACAATTTTACAATATACAGTGATACCTCGGTTTTCATTGATAAACTGTTTGAAAACAATCGGTGAAATCTAAAACTGACAAAAACCAAGGTCTTTATTTCCATAGGAATCAATGTAAATCCATTCTAGACACTCCAGAATACATACCAAAAACACATTTTAGAGAGAATAGATATTGTGTTTAATACTAAAAACACAAAATTAATGTAAAATGAATATAAAAAACTAATGTAAAGAATAAATGAACATTTAACAGCATTTAACATGGCATTTGAAGGGCTTTTGGCTCTGGAAACTTTCTTTGGTCCCATGATGGAGCTAAAGAAAAAGAAAGCAATGGAATTGTTTGGCTAGACATATGGGATAATGCTCGCACAACAAGAAACAATGCCACACTGAGCAGGAAAATATGTGGGTCACCCCATGTTTTTGCAAAATTAGCAGGTGGTCACGTGAGCACGCCGGCAAAAACCGAGACAAAATTTTCACAAAAAACCGACAATAACCGAAGTCAACAAAAACAGAGGTATTACTGTATTGTAAACCAAAACAACCAGATAATCGGTCTGCAAAGTTTTAAGCATTACTAAAAATGTTGTGCTTGTTTACAGTGAAACTGATGTTTGATAATGCATGTAAAAATCAATAATCTAATTTAAAGAGAGACTATAATAAGTATGTATAAGCAATATAGGTAAAACAGCCATTCAGAAACTATGAAATTAGTCTCAAATTGTGCTACATATAAGTTTGTAAATCTATCATATTTGTTATTTCCCTTTATTGAATTGCAGATTAAGAGTATGCAATCAATAATGCATTGAAAACATGGAGTGCTTTCAAATTTGGTGAGATTGCCTTCCAAGTCAGTCATGCGCATTTTAAATTTCACATGGTAACAAATGTTTGCCATTGAAATTAATAGTTATTGTTGCAGTTGCATTTTGTGTACACATAGGAAGTTGAAAACAAACTCAATTTGAACAAACAAGAGCAACTTAATTTGGTTTCATTTGACACTCTTATGTATATAAATCTTATAGTAAATTAGGAATTAAAGTCTGTTGAGGAAAGTCAGACATGCTGGTCATTTTCTTTTGAAAAAATGTCTAAATGACAATTACAAAATATTAAATTACTTACAAAATCAAATTTTTGAAAAGAAAAACAAAAATTTGATTTTAAAATATTTTTCTTCCAAAACTCAAATATTGTTTTGTTAAGTATTTGAAGACATAAAAAAGTCAATGAAAAAAATATATTTTTTATATATTAAAGGAATAGCGACATCAATTTTTTGAATTGTATTTATAATATTTAAAAACAGACAGCTTCTAGTCTGCAAGTGTGCATGTACAAAATGAAAGTTTTGAGAATAGTTATGGATTAACTGTAGTCTCTAAAAACTACTGTATATAATAATGACATATGCACAGCTTTCCGCATCAACAGCTTTCTTTCAGCATCAATAGCTGAAAGAAAGATTATACTTTGAGATTAAATTTAAGTTTGCTTTAGAAGAACAAATGCAATACAATAAAATTCTTTCCCATTTGTGAACAGATTTAATGGTAAAACATTAAATAGTTTTAATTTATGCATTTATTTTTAAAAAATATAGAACTATTGGTTTAAGTTCTATGGAGTCAACTCTGTTTAGTGCAAAGATCTAAGTAAAGGGTTTTATCTTGTATCTCTATTTCAAAGGAGGACATATTTTAGCATAATACATTTATAAAATATGTTCAATTTGTTTAGGTCCAAAATTAACTATCTTTGATAACCACTTAAATATAAAACTGATTAAAATAAAATTACAAATTTAAAAAAAATATGAAGTGCCAAACTTGATAAATTGAATAAAATATTGCAATAATATTGTATGCTTTAAAAAAAATGTAAATTACTTATAAAATACCAAAGGACAAAAGACAAAAATTTATAAATATATTCAAAATAAGTTAATATTTGGCATTAATATATGCAGTATTAAACATTTTATCAATACTCTTTTCTTGAAAGATGTCAATTAGTCATACTGTATTAAGGTGAACTTCCAAAGATGGGAGTCACGTGGCAATCGTTCAACCAAAATACTTTGTTTCTCTACAGTGCTGCCCTTTATAAACTGCGTTTTGAACGGAGAGTTTGCATTCTGTGAAGGGTGGCACCAAAGAGAAATAAAGAACTTCGGCAAAATGATTGACGTGCAGGTCCCGTCTTTGGAAGAAAATTTACCTTAGTACAATTTTAACAGTGCTTTAGCTTTTCCTAAAAAGAACTATTTATGACCATATCTAACAATATCTATTGATAAAATTATTGATTTTTTACAGATACATTAATTAAATTAAAAAAATTAAATATATGGTGGAAACGTCATTATCCAAACTTGATGGGACAAGGGATCTTTGTATAATCTGAAAACTTCATTTTTGTATTCTAGATACATCAAGTAGTGTGCATTTAAAGCTTCATGAACAATAAATACTGTAATGCAATAACTGTATTTGAAAGTAAATTAATTTATTTAAAATCTAACATAATGTTACTTATGTGACCTAGTTCTGCAGCACTACAATTGACAAGTGACATAGTAATTTCCAGTTAGAGAATTTGGTTACCGTGTATTCTACTCTTTTTTTAAACCATTTTGGATAATCAAGTTTCTATTGCAATAATGATATATATAAATACCGAATATACCAAAAATAAACTATATATTATTTTATTGGCAATATATCATAATACTTTCATTTACATATTAACAGTAAGACAGTTATTTAAATCTACATTTGTGAATTTATTGTATTTTTAAATCATGTGTTTGTTTCAAATGTTTCACCTGAAAAGCCAAATATATAATTAAATGCATTAGAAATACAGTATTTGAGAATAAAATTTTGATTTGGTAATTTAAAAAGGGTTCATTTGTTGTATTATCCAAAAAACAATGCTTTAAATATATTGTTCAATCATATGCAATATCATTATTATATTTTCATCATAATCCTGATAATGAAGCATGCTTTTTAACTTATATATATATATATAATCATTAAAGATAATTAAAAGTTTAAATTTAGTGCTATCAAATGAGATTTAAAATGAATGAGATTAAATGAGATATAAGTTACATTTCATTAACTTATTCAATTTGCTTGAAGGAAAGGAGTCACTTTGAGCAAAATGTAAAAATATTCATGAGATTATTGTCATAGCATGAAACAAAGATATTGTGATGTCAGAGCATGCTTCTACATTTTAGACGTTGACTTATATACAAAGTGCAATTGATTTTCACATTGTTATATTTATTAAATGATCAAACATTTTATATGCTTGTTATTTATTGTATTTTGTACAGGGTGTGGTTAGAATTAAATTGATGGTACTCGAGCATGTGTGGAGCTGGCTCTACTGAACCGAATCGAATGAAACTCTGTATATGTGCAACAAAGATCACAAGAAAGATATTTTTTGAGGGGAAAAAATAGTTGAAATTTTTACTATCTTAGGAAAATGTGCCACTGCAAGGATGACAATTATATGATAAAGGGATAAAATTTTATTAGAAGAATAAAGTTACATTTTACACATTTACAGTATATGCACACTGTAGGATCCTCTGTCGACTACATGTTGCAATCGTGAAACCATGTTATTGACTTCCATACGTAACATTTCGGGAGGAATCTGAGTAACATGTACTATGCAAGCTTTCAGTTCTGACACAGAGTGCATGCAGCCCTGATAAACACAATCGTTCAAATAATTCCACAATCATATGTTTTTTGCATATGCCACATTTTCCCCTGGTGGGAAAATTTCAACTAACTAATTATTTCCTCCTGTAAATCTATTTCCTGTGATCTGAACTGCATATGTAGAGTTTCATATAGTGAGGTTTATATATATATCTATATATATATTAATACACACACACACACACACAACCATGCCAGGGTAAAACAATAGCCAGATGGTGCCATAGTGGGTGATTATATAGGCCATGGACATAGGAGTCATCCTCAGTCAGTGCCATGAATAACTGTGGATGGTTATATCAACAATTAAGTATGTCTGGAAGCAAAGAATCACTTGGGATCTGGGTAGAGTAACCGGCAATGCATCTGCACAGTAAGCAGGAGTCACAGGTTCAAGTTCAACTCCAGGCCCATTCTTTTCTTCTAGAATATTTTAAATTAACTAGAAATTCTCCCATCAAACATGACAGAATATTTTTTTATGAGAAAGTAAAGATTGAAGAATTGAAAAGAATTTCAAGTTGAGCTTCACATTATTATGCTGTTTCTGCAGTCCTTGGCAAAACCATTCTTACTCTATGTTGCTCAAGTCAGACTTTACAGCCTTCAAGGTTTTGGTTATTATTCTTTTAGATCTACAATTTACCCATCCAATTTTATTCTTATGATTTCTCCTAGGCATTTTTTGACAAAATAACAAGTCTTTTTAATTCCATTTTCAATTGTATGTATGTTAATTAGATGAGTGATAATATTTTCTAAATAATGGGCTTATTAGATCATAACTTCTGATTAGATAATAGAATGTCACATGGTCACTATGGAAAGATTAAAAAAAAAATTGTTATAGAAGTGACACGATGAGGCTATCTTTTTTAAAGTTTAAATTTAATGAAGCAAGTTTAAATTATGCCACTTGCAGAAATATTTAAAAGTGCAACTTAAGGGAAATTCCCTTGTCAAGCATGAACTAAACAAGATCACTGATGTCACTACAATGTAAGTGCAATCACAGATCTGAAGTCAATAAAACATTTAGTCTATAGCTAATACTTTTGCAAAATAAGTAACCTATACTTTCCATCAGAACATAAAATGAATATAACCAAAATTTTGTCTAGATTGGACAAAAATTACAGGAGTTATAAGGAATTCACACGCACATGTATGCATACACAAATGACGGCTTTTATATTAGTAATTATAATAATTATTAAGTTAAATAAGAGATGGCATGTAATGCTTACTTCTAGTACCAAATTACTTAATAGTTAATCATTAATAATAGCACTTAATCAGCCCAATTAATTATAGTGATTGTTTGGTTTATTACAGAGTTTCATTTGGTTCAGTTCAATACAGTTGGCTCCACATATGTCTGAGTACTGTCAGTTTAATTCTAACCACCTTGTATAATAAAAGAGTATCTTAGAGATAAAGTAAATATCAAAAGCAGAGTATAGTTTTGCTATTGAAGTATAGTATAGCAATATGAAGAATTAAATAAATTTTGTGAATGGAGAAATATCACTACATAATTGTAGAATATTGACAGGGAGTGTAAATGGTAAAAATTTCATTAAAAACTACACAAAAGTATTTTTACCTATTTCAAGAAAGCTTAGAATAGTAAGTAAACTGAAAGTGATATTGTTTTGATCAGTGTCAAGATATCTTTATTCCTTGAAATGGCTTAATTGAATAAACTGTTTAATTTTAAGAAAATTCTGCAATCAAATAACTTTTGATTAGTCAATGTAAAAAATTTATACATTAATCAAAAATGAGTTACTACATTTTCTGTGTAATTTATTAATTCAATGATTGCTCTTTTAAATCTGTTTTTAATAAGCAGTCTGGAGTATCCTCAGACAATATCTTAAATAATCTGTAGTGGTGCATGAAATTTAATTAAATAAAAACTTAGTATCAATAATATGGTACAACCTTTAATTCATCTTGAAGTTTCTTGCGTTCGTTTTGCACCTGGAGCAGACGAGACTGGAGATCTTGATTTAGCAGTTCTGTCGTGCCCAGTCTTCTCTCGGTTGCAGACAATTCCTTTTCCTTTTTATTGATTCTAAAGTAAGAACAGTAATTATTATATAATTATATTAATATTTACATAACACTAAATGTTATTTAGTGCTTAGAATAAAATAAAATTTTTTCAGTTAAGATAATAAAGATAAAATATTTTAATTACTAATATAATCAATATTTTTAGTTACTAAGTCTGGTATAGAGCCTTGCAACCAAATATTAATCTTGGTCTTTATAAAATACATCAATATATATTTTATATATTTTGTGAAATGTAAAATTTGAGTTTTTCTTCCATTTTAACAGCATAATTTTGCACAATTCTTTTAAATTAAAAAAAACTTTTAACTGTAGATATAAATGCAACATTTCTATTATGAAAAATTTGGCAATGAATCAACTTTTATGCAAGCACAGAAACTTGCACAATTATTGACATTAAAATAATCTATCATAATAAATACATTATATTATTATGCATTCATTTAAAATGATCACGTTACCCATTTGGTTACCAGTCTGTTTTTTTTTTTTTGTATTAAAATAATGCAACACCAAATATACTGTTTATAATATTGCAGTTTGATGTTAAAGCTGCTCTTTGTAAAAATACTGACCACAGATTTTATATCTGTTCTCACATATTCATTCTGATTTTGAGAGAAATTGTAGAATGGTTACCTTAGTATAAGAACGTTTTGAAAAATTTTGCTATGGACAGATACGAAAAGCTTAAAAAGAAATTCTGCAGGTTGAATAATAAGATTTACAAATATGCAGGAAAATGGATGTTGCTTTGCACTCAATATTCAAATCTTTAAACAAACTTTTCCCATTAAATCTCAAATAAAACCAGATTTATCTAATGATAGTATATAATACATTTAAACCAGTCAAATTAATCTTAAGTATTTTATTGCTCTTAAGAATATAAAGATTAAAAATTCCACAAATTTGTTTATACCAAAAATATGTTGAACATTTGATAGAACTTGTAAAGATTGTTGTTCTTTTTCACATTATACAGAGATGCGTATGTGCCATTAAAATTGTTAATAGTAGTTTGAGTGGAATGCGTGATCAAACACAGATATTCTGAGAGCCTTCCCACTTAGCATTATTAACAGTAATATGGGATAGTTGTCAAATCATCACAGAGATCCTTATTTTATTAATTTTTAAAGTTTTATGCTATTTTTCAAAAGACACAAATCAAGAACAACTTGCAAGAAACATTAAATTTTAAAGCAGTTTCGTTGACTCGTGTTATGTAATTCCGACTTCGATACCAAATCGGGTCGAAGACCGGTTTTCTTTTATTCTCACTGCAGATGTATTAAGCATTTTTAGGTCAGTGTAATTTTATATTACCTTAAAAGTAAATTTATGTAAACGATAAAAAAATAATAAAGTATTTTGCATTTAATTACTGGTTTCTAATTTTCCTTTTTAAAATCTGCCGATTAAAACTCCGACAGTTTTGGTACTGGATCACACTACAATATATTTCTATAGAGTCAAATAATTAAAAATGTAAAATTATTTTCATTGACAAAGAATAGTGGTTAAACCATATTTTATAACAATAAATAACTGATAATTTTATATTAAGAAAAAGTCATATATATATGTATAACATATTTATATGTATATAAGTAGTTAAATATGACATTTGAATACATTAAAAATTCAAAATGATTCCATAATTCCAAAACGCTTAAACACTTCAATAAGTCATATTTTTTAACAACAAAAGTCTTTTTATTAATGATAATGCTTGAGTAAATATTTTGTTAAACAATTCAAATTTTAAGTTATGACGCCAAAGCCCATGTTTTAATCAAACCAAAATAGCCCAATTTAATATGACATTCGTTTGGTTTATCTTTAAAAATTAGCTTTTATTCTGCAAAATTTTGACATAATTTAATATACTATTAAAGAGAGATTAGAGTTAGTTTATTTATATGCAAGTACATTCAATAATCTGGTTTTGGTGTAAGATTTAAATATGGAGAAGTGAAGTTGAAAATAATGGAATAAACTGAAGTAACTTTGAATGGTCGTTATAAATATAAGTTGTAATGAGGAAGAAACTAACAGATTTAAGATAATTATTTTTAAATATCAAATGTTTTTCTGCCAGACTATTATAAAATGTTAAACTTCACATCTGTCAAAGAACTACAATTTAATGAAATTTAAATTTTGCACACATATATATGTGAATTTATATATAAAATAACAAATTATACAATCTAAGATATTAAATCTACCTTTATATTATTATATCCATATTTATTTATTTATTTATTTAGCTCGTGCATGTGTTTGTGCACACGCATGCATTATTTTATTATATTATAACAATTCATTTATTTAAAGTAAAAAAAATTTCAATGGAAACATCAAGGGTGGACAATTTCCCATCATGTCACAAATCTAATTCATTGATTAGGCGTGCCGTATGTCGGAGACACGCCCGATATGCCTGCTTTGGTTATTTTTACTCTTGGCAAAATACACGATACGTCAATAAAAACATTTTTAACAAATCATCACACTGTTTTTATAAAAGAAAAATAAAATTTAAAACCATTTTAATAATTTTATTTTTGTATAAAATTATGAAAATAGTTTTAAATTTCATTGTTTTCTTAATAAGATGGAGAATTATTTAAATTTGATTTGTTGTAAAATATTTAGAGAAAGTATTGATTACGAAGTAAAGAGGTCCAGGAAAGGCCAAGTTAGGTTTGTGGAGCGGAGGACATCTGCTTCACCCCAGATTAGCGATCGACCCAAAAAAATTCACCTGCCTGCAATTTTCCGTGACAAAGGATTAAATTTTTATAATTATTATCCATCTAGATTTTTATTAAGTTTCATAATAATAACAGCAATTTTGTATGTAAAGTGTGTGTGTGTACATTCACACTTTACATACAATACATACATTAAGAAAAAGATATTTTATAATTGCAGTAAATTATTTTTGATAACTTTATATATTTACAATTGTTTAGAAACTTATTGTCCAAAATTTGCACAAAAATTTTCTAATTGAAATCTTCAGTACATTTAATAAATAAAAATGAAAGTGTATAGCAACCAAATGTGTAATGATTACAAAAAAATTATTATTTCACTTCTATTTATAGACCTAGTTAGAAACATGAAGTAACTTGAAAGTGGAACAAACTGACTTATCTTTGTTGATATTGGAAGCTTTTCAACTCTTCTACATTAGTTAAATGTGATCAAATGTAGCTCTAAAATTGAAATTCTAACACATTAATTTCTATTTATTATATATTTAGAAAATTTAAAGAAATAAGATGTAAAACTGAAAGTGTGTAATGCTGATAAAAGATAATTTATGGTAGAGGTAAATCCAGTGATAAATCAAAACTCTGGTAGTTTAAATAGAATTGATACTACTAACATCTAAGTCCAAAACTGTAAACAAAGTCCTCATTTGTCTTTTTCTGTAATTAAAAAATATTGTAAATTTTGTTAAGAAAAACTAGACTATTTTCTAATACAATATCAAATTAAAACCAATAAATAAATTGTTTCCGTCACAAAATTCAATTAGGTAATTTGATACCTTTGGTATTCGGGACACGCAAACAAGGTAGACGTTTCCCATTCGGCAATTTCCTACTAAATTAAAAAAATGTATTTGCATTTGCCGTCAATTTTTATCTTCCCATTCCTTAAGTTTTAAGAACAAACCATTAAACATTTTAATAAATTATATTTCAAGTTATTAATTATATTTATTGTAAGAAGATTCTTAAAGAAATAAGAATGTAAAATTCTTATGAAGTATGAAAATATATAAACAAACTCTCAGATGTTTCTATTTGTAGCTTATACTATTCTACAGAAACAATAGGAACTTGTGTTACTTTCTTAAAATAAACATAGACAAATATAAATAAATCTAAATGACTAATTAATCCACCAATAAAATAGGAGATGGACTCATCCATAAAATTCTCTGCATATAATCCACCAGATACATCGCTTATAACACCGACCTATATTTTTTACTGCAATTATCTTATTATTTCAATAAATAATCAATGCTTTTCTGTTTAGAAAACTTCTAACAAATAGTACAAAGTAATAATAATTCATACGTAAAACAACTGACAGTTTGGTATTAGAAGAAAGTCTTTAATGTATATAAAAACAAGAAAAAGATATATTAATTACAGACACTGGCTTTATTCATTATTTATCCAAAAAGATTAAATAAAGAAATATTGACATTTTTATTGACATTCATATATCTTATTTTGTAAATTTCTCAAAGAAAAATTCTGTTAGAGCTTACAATAATATGAATTATAAATTAATTTTTGAATATATATATTAACACAAGGTATATAACCTAACTAGTTATTAAATTATCAACCTAATAAAGATATCCATAAAATTGAATTTTTGGGTTAAGTTTTAAGGTCGGTGTTCACTTTTTTTCATTGTAATGCCGTAACAGTTAAATGAATGTAATTAAAAGTATAACCTAAAGCCTGTCAGAAGACTTAACAAAAGTATTTCAGAAAAATCAACTTTTATACTTAAATAGAAAAAAAAAAGACACAACTTTCAATCAAAATGAANGCTCGACCCTCGTGTCCGAGACGGAAGACGGCGCCCTCTGCGGTCGGGAATAGGAACGACTCCCTCCACAAATTTAACGGTTCCTTTTTAGTAAATTCCAAGTTTTTTAAGCGCCGGAATATTAATTCGCTCTCGCTGGTTTTTTAAACGTAATAATAGAGACGGAGGCCACGCGCGTGATGTCATTTCTATTCGAGTCAGACGCCGCCCACGCCCCTTCTTCCGCCCAACGTAACCTAAAAACTTATTATACGGGTACGAAACGTCTTTCTCGTATTTCTAACAATAAAATAATTCGCCAGACAATAGGCGTTTAGAGATTTCTATTCTTATAGAGGAAGTAAGGAAGTGTTCTAGTTAAGGATTTCCCCTTCCTTTCTTACCGACGGGACGAGTAATCTC